GGGTTTCAACCTGGGGTGAAATTCTAATGTCGTTATTTTGTTTTGTTTTTTATTATTTTTACAAAGTTTATTTATTTTTGAGAAAGAGAGAAAGAGAAAGTGGGCAGGGGAGGGGCAGAGAGAGAATTCCAAGCAGGCTCCGTACTGTTAGTGGGGAGCCTGATGCGGGGCTTGAACCCACAAACCGGGAGATAATCACCTGAGCCCATGTCAGACGCTCCACTGACTGAGCCACCCAGGTGCCCCTAATGTCATTATTTTAATGGAGTCAATCTAAATACACTTTGAATATGTATTGGCCCTGATGGACTGCTGCAGTTTCTTTATGTCAATCCTCTATGTTTGAACTCTAGGGTGACAGTGACATTATCATATCCATCCATGGGAGCACGAGTTACCGTGTTGGTTTGTCACGCGGGTCTTGGTGAGTTTTGTTTTGTCTCTTAGATTTGTGGGGGTGGAGAATCTGGTTTTATTAGCTGTGTGGGAGTCTGTCCGCTCACTTGAGGAGAGCAGAGCATCCTGTTGCCAGTTGCAGCCACTTGACCTTTGGTAACAACATGAGATCCCATCTCATTTTTACTTTTGAATGTTGGCTTTACAATCAAATGTGAGCTGTATGTATTTGTACTGATAAGGATTTATAATCTGCTGGGGCGGCTGGGTGGCTCAGTTGGTTAAGCCTCTGACTCTCGATTTCAACTCAGGTCCTGATCTCCCAGTTTGTGAGTTTTTTGTTTTTTTTTTTTAATTTTTTTTTTCAACGTTTATTTATTTTTGGGACAGAGAGAGACAGAGCATGAACGGGGGAGGGGCAGAGAGAGAGGGAGACACAGAATGGGAAACAGGCTCCAGGCTCTGAGCCATCAGCCCAGAGCCTGACGCGGGGCTCGAACTCACGGACCGCGAAATCGTGACCTGGCTGAAGTCGGACGCTTAACCGACTGCGCCACCCAGGCGCCCCTGGTTTGTGAGTTTGAGCGGCAAGTTGGGCTCCACATTGACAGCATGGAGCCTGCTTGGGATTCTGTCTCTGCTCGCTCTGTCTCTCAAAATAAATAAACTAAAAAAAATTATTTTAAAAAGCCTAACTTACAATCTGCTTTAACAAAAAATGTTCTTCGTAGGGAAAAAAGAAGACATGAACCAGTGTTAATTTAATATCTTTTTTTGGTAACTAAATGTCATAAACTACCCTAAATCTTCAATAGTGATGATTTACAATTATCAGTATGTGATTGTGAAAATCAATCAGGGAAGCAGTAGCAGGAATTTCATCTTTCAGTTCTGGACAAGAATTTATATGGAATGGTAGCTCACAAATAATTCTTTTGGGTCATGGGTAAAAAAAAAAAGGGTATTGCAGGTACTCTATTTTGATTTTCCCAAGTAAAGGGCAGTAATCCGAGGGACTTCTAAATTTCATCATACTGAGTAGAGTTCATAAAGGAGTGTAGCTTTCCTTCTGTCGAGCATTGACTTTTGCTGATTACCGACTTATAACTGCGTTATCAGCACATCAGAGCTCTGAAAAATGGGCCTCAACGCCCTTGATTCACCGGCAAACGTCCCACAGTACCCTCTTCCTATTTTCCTAAGACCGTGAACTACATAGGGCACTAGGTCTCTCAGGTCCTGGGGGATCCCAGTGGAAACTGTATTCTGAAACGGGGGACGATCCACAGGTGCAACTGTCGTTCTCCCAAGTCACAGCAGCCACGTTCCAAAGGCGTCCAACGGTGACCTTCCTCAGAGCCTGAGGACCGCCCTCCCTGCCCGCGCACGTGGCGAGGTGGGGACGGAGCCACGTGGGACCCGTGGAAGACGCTCTCCGCAGCGCGCGGCTGACATTCCAGGCGCTGGAAAGGAGTTGTCAGCTTCTCGCTGCAAGTTGCGACCCTGCGCGCAGACCCTGTAGTTAGAAGTGAAGCACAGTGAGGTGAAACGGGGATCGTCCCCGACCTCCCATCACACTTCCCTTTTCCTCCCTCATTCCGCCCCCGCCTCCGCCAACTCTCAGCTCGCTGGCTCAGCTCAGACTCGCCGCCAGACCTATCGCGGGGGCCGACCGAGACCCCGGAAGAGGGACTCCATCCGGGTGCTTTGTGCGGGCGAGGGAAGGGCGTGGCTTTATGACGACCGTGAGCGGGTGGGGCGAGGAGCCAACTCAGGAGCTGGGACAGCCAGACGGAGGGGGCGGCGGGAGTATGGGTTGCAACTTGCCACGCCCCATGGAAACTCCATGCTGCTCGGGAGGGGAGTCTCTATTCTCAAACTCTCCTTGGAGGCGGGAATGTCAACCAAGAAGTTTAATTTCAAAGACTCATCCTTTGGAAAGCTTCTTCATACTCTCTCCTGCTTCCCTTCTTTCCTCTCTGCTTGGTAACCACGGGACAGTCTCCGCCTCCAGCCTTCCCTCCCCCCCCCCGCTCTGTGCAGATGGTGGCGGCCCGCGCGGTGCGCAGCCGCAGAGAGTTCTGGGCGGCGCCGGCGAGGGGCGTGTGACGCAGCGGCCGTCGCTGCCATTTTAAGTTGTTTGTTCTTGCTCCCCTCCTCAAACGCGATTCTGCCCCGGACCCGGGAGGCGCCCGAGGCCGCCGCCGTTTCCGCAGCCTGCGGTTGGGGGGGAAACGAGGCTGTGCCACCGCGGACTCTCACCTTCCGCTTCGGCTTTGCCCCCTCCGGGTCTCCTCGACCTTCCTTCCTGAGAGCCGGAACCCGACCGTGGGGGAAGAAAGACTCGAGAGCAGATGCTTGAACTGAAATAACTTTATTTTGGGGGGTTTGCTTCGCTGACAGACCCCGTAGCGCAGGGCTCCCCTCCCCTTCCTCCCCTCCCCCTCCGCCGCCA